GAATTCTGCACCGTTCACTATGATTCCAAGGAAATTCAACCTTGCCACACCTTGTTCATCCGTTTCTGAGGACTTGGGTTGGTCCCTCTTTTGGGCTATTATATACAGCACAGCTATGGACAGTTGTGCACAATATTTATATGAACATATAGGCTTCAATTCTCTTGCACTGAACGGAATGCAGTTTCCCGCCCACGTGGCTGTTCCCCGTGTAATATTTTGAGGAACTGCCAAAGTGACTGCATCACTTTATATCCCTGTGAGTACTGTGTGAATGCTCCAATTTCTCCACACCTTTGGCTGCCCTCCTAAACTGCCTCTGAGTCTACTCACCCTGTTGGCTGCAGAGTGGCTTCTCACTGTAGCTTTGATTTGCACTTCTCTAATGAGTAATTTCAGTGTTGAACCTTTTTCTGTGCTTATTGGCCATTTGGGTATTTTCTCCAGAGAAACATCTACCTAAATCCTTTGCCCATCTTAAAGCTAGAAACCCACTGAAAATTAGAAATCAACTCATCAAGCTTTAAGAGTTCTTTTAAAAAGAAGAAAGATTTATATCAGCTAACAGCTTATAGAGGTCTCAGTCTATAGTCAGCTGACTCCAAGGCAGCAAAGTGGCAAAGCAGACAGGAGGCAGGGAAGCAGCAAAAACAGCAGTCAGCCAGTCTTTCACCTTTGTCCCATCCAGACTGCCAGCCCTTTGGGTGGTACCAATTCCAATGGGTAGACTGATACAGTACCACACACCCATCCAATGGGTAGACTGATACAGTACCACACACCCTTAATCGCAGCATCACAAAGCCCTGGGTGCAGCCACCTATGAGCACAGGAAGCTTTCAGGGGACACCTAAATACAAGCCATAACACAAGTAGTTAGGGTTACTAGTTACAACTTGTTAACCATTAACAGCTACCTGCAACTAGTAAACTACTACTAGTTAGCCACAGCCACTTACCAACTACTGGTTAAACTCTACTAGTAAATAATTACTAGTTACTAACATTCAGTAGGTATTGGTCAGTTACCAAAAATATAGTTACCATCTCTAGTTAACAACTCAGAATACTAGCCACTGGCAACTAGTTTCCAACTACTAGTTAACTATCATGTGTTACCAATTATTAGTTAGCCACAATGAATTATCCACAACTAATTAACTGATATTAGTTAACTATCAGTTGCCCATAATTAGTTAACAATAACTAGGCATCCATAACTGCTCAACCATCACTGATTACCAGTTACCCACAATTAGTTAATCATCACTAGTTACCACTTACTAGTTACCCAGGACTGATTCATTGCCTGTTACTATTCACCAGCAACTAGTTAACCACCTCAACTTTCCAACTACTAGTTAACCGTTACTGATTATTGATTGTTAATTACCCACAATTTGTTAACATTAGTTACAAGTTATCTACAACTAGTTATCCATTACTAGTTACTGGTCACCAGCAGCTAATTGACTTTTACTAATTGTCAGCTGCTAGCTAACCATCACTCACTGCTAATTACTAGTTACCCACAACTAATTATCCATAACTTATTATTCACAACTAAATAACTGACATTAGTTACTAGTAACTCACAAACTACCAGCTACTAGTGAACCATCAGTAGTTAGCAATTACAGTAGTGCCTCAGTTCTGGAATACTTTTGTCTGAACAATTTGGTTCACCACAGCATTTCAGTCTTCTTTGGGAACTGCATCTTGTAGTGACCAGGACCGTGGCAATCTTTCTCACATGACCACCAATGTGGCCATCTTTTCCAGAATCATGGTGCAAATTTGTGAATGGCGGTATCGCTGCATTAGTAACTTCCAAGTAATTAACCATTGCTACTTACTGGTTACTAGCTATCCATATTTAGCTAACCACTTACCAATTAGTTATTAATTTGTTAATCAAAACTAGTTTTCCATGACCAGTTACCAACTATTAGTAAACCATCGCTAATTTTCAACTACTAGCTAATCTCAAGTTAATAATTGCTTGCTACTCACAACTAGCTAACAATTGTTAGTTATACCTGACCACTATTACAACATTTACCAGCTGCTAGTTAAATATCACTTGTTACGAGTCAGTCATTACCCACAACCAGCTACCCATTGCTAGTTACCTATAACTAGTTGAACATTAGTTATCTGTAGCTTATTAATACTAGTCATTACAACTAGTTAATCATAGTTTGTCTAGGACTAATTAGCTATAGCTAGTTATCTATATTTCATTAATGCTAGTAACCCTCAACTATCCATAACAGATCACTTATCACTAGCTACTACAATGATTTGTCATCACATTTTCTATAGCTAGTTAACTAGTAATTGGTAACTAACAATGGACAACCAGCAATTTTTTTTTAGCCATTTTATCTAGTCATTGTGGACCAGTTGTGCATTACTAGTTACAAGTAACCAGCAATGGGCAACCGGCTGTGGTTAGGTGGTCATTTTTAAGGCTGCTGTGTTCCGAATGGGCATCCCGGCAGCCCAGATGAGCAGACGCCCTTGGGATCCTCTGTTCTATCCCCTGGAGCCATGTGAGCGCCCTCAAAGTTGAAATGCATCAGGGCTGAATCTTTATGTATTTTCCTTATTTCATGGATTTAACGGCTATAGCCCTACCTCATAATTTATTTATTTATTTATTATTTGCGGAACCAGGGATTGAACTCAGGCCCTTGCGCTTGCAAGGCAAGCGCTTATTCTACTGAGCTATCTCCCCAGCCCCTTACCTCACAGTTTAAATCTCTAGCCTTCTCTCCATTTTAAACTCATGTACCTAACTGCTTACTCAGCATGTCCACATAGATGTGTGAGAGGTATTGCAAACTTAGGCCCTCAAAACAGCTATTAATTTGATGGCCCCAATGAATCCAGTCACCCTTTGTCCAATCAACCCTTTGTAATGAGTGTTAATCTTACCCCCTGAGAGTCTAGCCTCATAGAAAAATAATTATATGAACTATGTGTTTTGTATTAAATTGTCCCCCCCCTTGCAAAGTCCCAAACTATGAAAGCATCTGACAGCCCAGCTGGGCCTGGAGCCCTTAGTGGCCTCTGAGCCAAGGGAGGTTGGGACTCCTCATGCATCCTGGCTGCTGGCTGAGACACCTCATTTGTCCTCTGCGTGGGCTCTCGGCCTCAGCAAGTTTAGCCTGGGCTTCCTGAGTGGTGGCATTAAGGTTCCAACAGTGGAAGAAGGAAAGCTGCAAAACCTTTAAGTCCTGGGCTCTGCAGCTCACCCTCTACTGCATTCTATTGTCCAACATAGACTCTCAGGGGTAGGATTGTCCAGTTGTCATTTATTGGAAGACTCTTATTCCTCCCCCCCCCAGGGTGTGGTCTTAACATCCTCATCAAAAATCAGTTAACTATGTGTGGAAGTGTATTTCCAGACTCCGTTCTGTCCCATCCATCTCTTCATATACCTTACACCAGTATTATGTCATCTTGATTGTACTGTACTAGGCGTTAAAATCAGCAAGTCGAAGGACTCCAACTTTATTCTTTTTTCAAGATTATTTTTGCTATGCTGGGTCCCTTGCATTTCCACATAAATTTTAGTAACAATTTGTCCATTTCTGAAAAAAAAAAAAAAAAAGGCAATTGGAATTGTGCTAGTCAGTTTTTGAAGATGCAATATAGTTCGGAGCTACTTATTTGGAACTCTTTTTATAGAGTCAAAAACTCCAGAAGTGATCCGGGACTGTTTCAGGGCACTTGAACTTGGGTATTACCCCCATCTCCTCAAACCCCTCTCACACACTGAATAGAATGATAGATTACCAATGTAGAAATTTAAACGTGTTCTGATTCATAAACACATCTTCTCTTCTGTCCAGCTGTCCTCCACTTGGACACCAGAAGAACCCCGAGCCCTGGGCTCTGCCCTCCACAAAGCTGGAGGGCTTTAGCAGGTTGCTTTTGTCTCTGGCCCTCCATGCTCCATGCTCTGGGCCCTGTTACATAGCGACAGGTGACTCCCACACCCTGTACATGGCGACAGGTGACTCCTCCTTCTGCACAGTCCTTTATGTCACTGGAGGAAACCACACCCAGAGGATCTTGAGCCACTCTCTGGTGTCAAAGCCGCACACAGCTAAGCTCTCTACCCAATAACACCAAAGGGCAGGGGGAGAGTTTTCATTTCATAAAAACTAGATACCGATACCTTGCAGGGGCATCCTCGAATTCCATCCACATCTCTATGGTTGCTGCCAGCTCCCGCAGGCCTATTTCTTCTGGCCAGGCAGGAGGCTTGGGCTGGGAAGCACAGCCGCGTAGCTGAACAGCGAGCAGCTGCGCTGGGATCTGAGATTCCGCAGGCCCAGTCAGGCAGCAGTGGCAGCTGGTAGGTCAGGTGGGCATTTGTGTGGGCCCAAATTAGGGACAGTTGGTAATCCGAGTAAGCAGAGATCGCAGGTTAGGGAAAGACCACCAGCAGCAAGAAGAAGAAGGGACACGGGGTCCCCTCCATCCCTCAGAGGCCCAGGTCTGAGCAAGGGCTAAGCCTCTGACTGTAGTTGCCCTGTCCAGCTCCTTGAACTGTGCCACCCGAGAGGGTTACAGGCGCATGCATGTGAAGCCGGTGAAACAGAGGTCTTTTACCTTCTTCAAATTGTTATTTCTTAAAAAGGAACTGCAGTGTCGTTTTTACCCAAGAATAGATTTATGCTTAATAGAAAGATGTTCCCTTTGCTAAGTCGACCTCTCCCACCAGGTGGATTCCAGACCCAGTTTAAGAAAACAGTTTGTCTCGCTGCGAGCGAGACGTCTGCAGCCCAGAGAAGGTCAGGGTCTTTCTTGTTCGCATCCCGCTGTTTTCTCGCTTGAAAAAATGAGCTCTTGCAGGTACTCAGGCTTTGCAGTTTGGACTAAGAGCCCGGGGTTGCACAGCGTGCTGGCCCCGCACCCCGCAGGGAAGGCCCCGCCCCGCCCCGACCCCGACCCCGCCTTGACACACGCCCCTTCCTCCAACACAATGGAACCGCAGTTGCCGGCGACACCGGAAGCTGGGCCGAGTTTTCCACTACCAGGACTGGCTGCCCGCGCCTGGCCGCCCACACGGGGTAACCGCGCAGCCCCGCGCCCTGCGCCTGCACCCCGCGCTCGCCATTCCCAGCCCCGCTGCCCTGCGCCGACTCCGCGCCTGGCTGTAACTGCAGGTGGTGGGAGGGTTCCGGAGTCTTGGAGAGACCCAAAACTGGAAGGTGTTCTCTGGTCTAAGCTGGTCTAAGTGCCCTAAGTTCCTGCGAGCCGCCTGAGGGCTTGGATCGCCCTGCCTCGGCCTCCACCCTGGGGACGCGGTCGGATTTGCTTCCGCTCGTGCCTTCCTGCCCCCTCACCCCAAACCCGGACTTCGGGCAGCCCCCTCTTCATTATTTATCGTAGTTATTGCAGTTTTCCTGCCCTGTCTCCACTCTAAAATAAGATCGAGACGTAGCCCAAGGAACGTTATTCTAGTAATATACCCCCAGAGGTCACTTAGTTTGTCCCCCATAAAATCCTATAGCTCTAGTCCCCAAACAGCCATCCTGCGAAAGTCTCCCCACCCCACCCCACCGCCGTGGTCGCCGCAGCTGATTCTGTTTCTGGCCTTTGTTGCACACGGTTCACTTCGTGTCTGTATCTTGCCCAGTTGGCCCGGGACTGCTGCCCCTTGTGACTTGGGTCGAACAGGGCCGGCCCTTACCCTGCGGAGCACGCGCCTGTGTCCATCTGGGCGCCTGTAACACCCCCGTGTGCCCGGCCCACGGCAGCCTTTGCCTCTGTTCCATGACAGTGTGTCCTCGGCCCCCTTAAAGCAGAGAATCAATCAGATTACGAAAATACTTTTGTTGGGCTTATAACCTACCCGCCCCGGCCCCTAGCCCCCCGCGCCCAGCTCCCAGCCCCCAACTCCCAGCCCCGCAGTAGTTTCTCTAGCAACTGGTTGCAGCATTCTGGAGCCTGATCCTGTAGAGTCCGCCCCGGGTCCCCTTCTTGACACCCTGTGGTCGGTCTGCTCTCATTGGTGCTGGTCCTAACCAAGGAATTACAATGAGTGCTCTCTTCCCTGGGGCTCCTGACCCAGCTTCTGTCTCGTGAGATTCCGCGTCTGCATTATTCATAGCTGCCTGCCGGGCTTCTGCTTCCTGGGATGCACTCCTACACGGGGTGACCCTAAGTCCGAGTATGCCAGCGGCAGCGCTGGCTTAGACCCACTGTCCCAATATAACTGTTCACTTTTCAAAAGCCTCACGGTTTGGAGGATGGAGCTCAGCTCTGCCTCTAACTTAGATGGCTTCCAGTTGGAGCAGGGGAGGGGCCCACGGCAGCCCACGCAGGTGTCCCTGTGTCCACGGGTGTCGGAGGCACAGAGCAGGAATTGACCAGCGCTCGTTCAATTCACTGCCAGCGCATCCCCTTCTTAGTAGCAGAGAGAGAGCTTTGCCCCAGAGGGTCAAGCAACCTCCCCACAGGGCCTGACACAGAAAAGACTCCATGACACCCAGAACCGTGTCTAGTCCACACCAGAGGGACCCCGGGGCTTTAACACCAGAGTCCCTAAGTTCACTGCTGTGATTCTTTTCACCACCACCCACGTACCCCAAAGCAAGTGCTCTGAGGCTGTGGCAGTTAGGCAGGGCTGATTAGCTATGGTTAGAGAGCCCCAAGGGCAGCACATTAGCGCTACTACCTGGGTCCCTAAGTTAGGCTCAGAGGTAGGGTCCTGGTTGTGGAAGAGGACAACCAGCTATCCTACTTTGCCTAGGATTGATGGCTTCCTGGGACATGAGATTTTCAGTTATTTTATGTTATTTTATTTTATTTTGAGGCAGGGACACATTAGTAGTCCAGGCTGGCTTTGAACGTGCTGTGTGGCTGACTAGCCTTGAATTCACAGGGATCCTCCTGCCTCTGCCTTTGCCCCTGAGTGCTGGGATCACAGATGTGCACCTCCACACCCAGTGGGACTTTCAGTTTCAAAGCCAGGAAAGTCACAGCCAAACTAGAATGCGTTGTCACCCCATTCTCCACCCTGACTGCACATAAGGCTCATTCCAGAATGCTTATTAAAGACAATGTTATTTAATTGATGCAGGAAAGGTCCTGGGCATGTGAATAACTTATTAAAATTTATTTATTTATGTAATTTTTTGGAACTAGGGTTTGAACCCAGGGCCTTGGCACTGAGCTACATTCCCAGCCTGGTTTTTTGTTTGTTTGTTTGTTTGTTTGTTTGTTTTGAGACAGTGTCTCCCTAAGTTGCCTAGGTTGGGCTTGAATCTTTCTTCCTCCTGCCTCAGCCTCCCAGAGCACTGAGATTACAGGTGTATGTTACTACACACAGCGTGTGGATTGCTATACAGTTCCCAGATGGAGTCCAGTGAGCTGCCAGTGCTGAGATCCATTAAGTTATGAGTGATAGCCCTAAACAGACCCTAAAAGTGAGTTGCTCAAGGGCTGCATGGCCAGGTAGGTCCGTCTCCTCATGAGAGGAGCTTCCAGAATGACCATTTCCTGCTGTGGCTATTTCTTTCCCCATTTTAAGGGTTTCTTCTCATGGGTGAGGACTGGGCTTCCCTTTTCCCAGCATGCTCTGGGGGCGTGGGCAGTAGCATTGCCTCTACCTCAGTTGGAGCTCATGATTTGCACAAGACCAGATAAAGCTGGTATGAGACTCCTTCATGCTTGGTGGTGGTTCAGAGGCCAGCTGGGGGCTGAGTGCTTCAGCTTTACCCTGTGGGGTCCTGGAGCTTGAAGACGTATCGGCTCTGGGACTGCTGTCTCTGCAGGTCTTCCAGGATCATGTGGTACATCAGCACACGGGGGACAGCCCCCCGGGTGGACTTTGAGGGGGCCCTGTGCTCTGGCTATGCCCCCGATGGGGGCCTCTACATACCAGAGGAGTTGCCCCAGCTGGACCGGGAGACCCTGGGGCGCTGGAGCTCACTGTCCTACCCCAGCCTGGTGAAGGAGCTCTGCAGCCTCTTCATCGGGCCTGAGCTCATTCCGAGAGAGGATTTAAATGGTGAGTAACCTGTGCCCAGCCCCACCGCTGGCTTTTCCTTCTGAGGGGAAGAGTGAGAGAGAGAGAGAGAGAGAGAGAGAGCGAGCGAGCGAGCGAGCTCAAAATTGGAAATCCAAACTTTTAAATCTATTCCACTTTCTACTTTCAAGATGAACATCGAAGTGATCTGTAGAGAATTTGCTTCTTTTAGTTTGTTATTTAAAAAACTGCACAAGGCATGGTACTGCATGCCTGTAATCCCAGCACTCAGGAGGCTGAGGCAGGATGAACTCTGTGAGTTTGAAGTCAGCTGGGCTGCAAAGTGAGATCATCTTTCAAAAGAAGAAAAAGAGATGCTCTAAGATTAGGGATTTGGGGCTGGAGACATAGCTCAGTGGCACAGGCTCCTGCCTGGCAAGTGCATAGTCCTGAGTTCAATTCCTGGTACAACCCCCCCTTTGCCCCCCGCTCAAACCCAAAAAAAAAAAAAAAACCTACAAAGATTAGGGATTTTATCCTGAGCAGCTTGCGTATTGGAGTGTTTTCTTTGTGCATATTAAGCACCAGGACCTCAGATCTCTGTTTTGTCCCCTGGAATGGTCATTCTAAAGAGACTTGGAGAGTCCTGGACCAGCTTGTCTCAAACTGCACTGTGCCAGTGGGTGTCCCTGGAATCTCATTTTAAGGGTGTCCCTTAAAATCAGATTCTGACCCAGCAGGTCTGGGGTGGCCCCGAGAACCCTGCAGTCTATCAAGTGCCCACACAGGCCTAGCACTGCTGGTCAATGGGCCACACTGTGAGTGGCACAAAGAAAGCCGTAATGGTTGGCATGTGTGGCTGGAGGAGGCAAAGCCCCACTCAATATGTGGTCTGATGGCGGTGGTCACCTCACTTGGAGCCTTGTTAGACCCTCAGGCTCTTTCAGACCTACTAACCCAGACTATGCATTTTAGCAAAGACGCCGTGTCCTTGCTCTGCTGCTGAGGATTGGGAAGCTGTGTTCTAAAACGCCTTGCTGTGGGTATCATAGCTTTTCTACCATGCCTGGTTCTGGAACCCTGGGTGTGAGATTTAATTTTTTTTAAATCATTTATTTATTTATTTATTTATTTGTTACATGGCCTCACTGCACAGCTTGGATTCGTAGTAATCCTCCTGTCTCAGCCTCCCCAACACTGGAATTATAAGCATGCACCACCACACTCTGTTTTGGTGTCCAGCACAGTGCACCTGGGGTTCCAGGGCTGGCACAGAATGGGGTACTGGAGGTCAAACTTGGGTCCATGTGCTTGCCTGGCAGGCACTTAAACAGCCGAGCTATCTCCCCAGCCCTGGATGTGAGATTTAGTAGTGGAAAAAAACCAAAAAAATGCAATCTTTCTGTCTTTGAGAATAAAAATTAGAAGGATATGACGTTCATTTGTTTGTCATATAACTATTTAGTTGATTTTATTGTAATAAATGCTTTAAAAACCCTCAAACAATGAAGAAATGCTTTAAGTAAAAAATAAAAGTCTTCACAGGAGGACTCCCAGGAGCCATCTATGATCATTTTAGTGTCTGTCTCTTCAGGCTTTTTTCCTAGGCTTATTCAGTGGCATGCATAAATGATATCATTTAAGATAAAATTTTCTTGGCTCTTGTGTGGTAGCCAGAGATGGAAATGTTCAATTTGGAGCGTTCATCCAACCCTCCTGCCCTCACAGGTCTGATCGACCGAGCCTTCAGCCGATTTCGCTCCAGAGACGTGGTTCATCTGCAGAAGCTGAAGCACGGGCTGAGTGTGCTGGAACTGTGGCACGGGGTCACGTATGCCTTCAAGGACTTGTCCCTGTCCTGCACTGCTCAGTTCCTGCAGTACTTCCTGGAGAAGAGGGGGAAGCATGTCACTATTGTTGTGGGTGTGTACTGTGGGCACAGGCACAGAGCTCCTTAGTGCCAAAACTTTAGGGCTCCACCTGCGAGATGCCCTCAGATGAGTCAGGGATGTCCAGAGCAGCATTCTTAACCTTGTCTTTGTCATCCTGAAAAAAAGCTATAGCTCCTTCTTAGAGTAATATTTCTATATGCTCAAATTGCTTAAGATTACCCAGTTCAGCACGTGTTCTGAGTTCTAAGTTGCTTAGCCCCCAGGTTGCTGCTTCGTTTGCCACTGATGCTTTGAGGGCCATTTCTGTCCTTCCTTGTTGTTCTAAAGGGATGTTTCTTCTTTATTCCCATGCAGGAACTTCTGGGGACACAGGAAGCGCTGCCATTGAGAGTGTGCAGGGGGCAAAGAACGTGGATATCATCGTTCTGCTGCCCAAAGGCCGCTGCTCGAAGATTCAGGAGCTGCAGATGACGACGGTACTGAAGGAGAATGTCCACGTGTTTGCAGGTGGGTGGTGAGGCAGACATAAGCGACATCGTGGCACTGTTGTAGTGGTAGATGACAGTGAGCGAAGGAAGATAAGGTCTCCACAAAAGAGATGAGTGTGTAGGAACAGGGAAGATTTTATTGCGAGCTTGAGACCAACATCCTGACTTCGGGTCACAACTCCTAAATTGTGGGCACTGGCCTGAACTTTGCTTTCAGGTTACATAATTTTTAGATATCCATAGCGACCACATTTCCACACTCACAGGAATGTTGCAGAATTGCCATGCAATTGTTACAAGGTTTACATTTCTACATTCTCCAGGCTCTGTAGACCACCTGCCAGTCACAGAAGATTGTGGTTTGGTCAGATACTTAGTACAAATGTCCTACTTCCTAAGCTGTTCTGATTGTTCCCTTTTTTATGGCCTTGTTTTTCTCAGTAGACTTAAGGTTAACTAGGATAGGGGTGAAAGGGAGTAAGTTCACCTATAATTTAAGTGAATTTAAGTGATTTTTGTAAAAATGGAGTTACAGAAAAAAATGGAGTCTCTCTTGCCCCATCAAAGTCTCTGTGGGGTCTGCTTTGGGACAAAATAGCTTAGTTGACTAGCTGGCTATCCTTCCTTCTTTCCTGTCTCTCTCCCTTCCTTCCCTCATCAGCTATATTCTGAGGTCAGAATATAGCTTGGCTTAGCTCTGAGAGGGCTCCTGGCTATGCAGTCCCCTAAGCAGTTGGAGGTGACAGACATACAAGCCAGTAATATCAGTGAAACATAGGAAGTGCAGGTTTGAAACCACCTCATGTAGGCTGTACTTGCTGCGGTCAAGTGTGACCCACACAGCCATGCAGAGCTGTAACCCAAGCTAAGCTAGTGCAGTTTTGTTCCAGGTACTGAAGTTTAGAGGACACACACTCAGTAAATAGTTAAGAGAATGCACCACTACATCTCAGCAGATCCGCCCTCCCTTACAGGCTAGAAATGACTTAAACCGTGCATGTAGTCAACAGGTCCAGGTATTTAAAATAGGAAGCTGCTCCGTTGTCCCCATTGTTAGTGCTGGGTTACTAGTTGTATAAGTGAAATCCTCACATCAGATCAGCTGTTCTGAATTTGTCTAGTCAGTGTGGAGACCGAGAATAGAGAAAGATGGGGTGAGTGTGGCTGGAGCTTTGTGCTCCTCAAATCCCCTAGACCTCACGGAGCACCAGCATGAGGACAGGAATATGAAAAATGGGGGCTTCGCTAAGGTTTTACACAGTGGGCCTCTCCATGTGGCCTCTCTCAGTTTGATTATTCATCTGGCAAGTCAGCAAGGGTGATGGCAGAGAGAATTCCTTCTATGAGTGGCCTGGCGTCCTGGTGTAATCCCATAAAGGATGTTTTCATGTAACACCAGCTTTGTCAAGGAGCAGAGGCATCGTGGAAACAAAACCCACTCCTGGGAATTGCCTTAGTCGCTTATGTCTTTTTTTTTTCCTGTACCAGGGATTGAACTCAGGACTCTGCGCTTGCCAGGCAAGTGCTTATTCTACTGAGCTATCTCCCCAGCCTTTAGGTCTATTTTTAACTGCAACCCAAAATTCCCCTGTGCTTTTATCTTTAGCAAGCACACACATGTTTCAGGGTGAAGTCCATGGTTTAGCTAATGCTAAAATTGTTGTAAAATCTTATACATTAGCCTTGGTAACTGCCTGGATTTGGTGCATTTTCTTGCAATCATTGCAAGACTTCACAACACAAGATTCAGACTCCAAAACTGATACTTATGGATCTAGGACTGACTCCTCCAAGCTTTAAAGTAGAGAATAGCTTTGCATACTTCTCTCTGGCCATTAACCCCTTTCTTGCCTCATACACAGATATTGAAAGGCTTTTTCCTTAACAGCATGAGTGAAAGCTCATTCTTGACCTGTGGGTAAGAGAATCCTGCTCATCTTTAAAACAATGGCAGAGTAAGCACAGTGCTAAGTCGTCTGTGTGATCCCTGCAGCTGAAGATGTATTTTTTTTTTGTGTATGTCCTGCACTTTGAGAGAAGAAGGCATGAGACTTAAAGAAATGAGTTTTGTTCATGAACAGCACTGTTCAAATTCTCTCTTTCCTCTTTGGAGCCTTCTGGCTTGGCTGTAATAAGGATATGTGCTAGTTCAGGAGCTAACGACAAGTATGTGTTTTCCCTCAGACCGATGAGCTCAGGGAGTAGGAGCGGACTGCCTGGATATTCTGTGTGGACACTGGGTTATAAAGTCATTATCTGCCTTGTACATCGTGTACTTATTCAATGCAGAATCATTAGTAAGCACTTGATAGCTATTGGTTATGTTATTTAGCATGCTTTTGGCTGGAATTAATGGAAAATCTAACAGACCAACTTAAAGAGGATAATTCCTGTCTTCTGTAACAGGACATCCAGAGGTGGGGTGGCTGTCACTTGGCCGAGTCAGTGACTCAACAGTGCCTTCAGGAACTCACATGCCTCCCATTCTCTCTCTGCCTTCCCTGATCCTAAGGCCCATTCTTCTTGTCCTATGATAATGATGTGGGGGTACACAGGACCCTCTGTAGCTCTTTTTTAAAGGCAGCAAGTTGTCTTTTGGCTCCCCAGCCAGCATCCCATCATGTCCCATTGGCCTGAGTTCCTCAGGTACCCATCTTGGCCCAACCCTTGACTACATGGGAATGCCAGGCACTGAGTGGCTTGGGCCTGACAAATGAATGGGGCCTCCACAAATCATCCCAGGACATTGGGGGTTCACATGTGGCTCTGGAGTTTTCCCCAGTTTCACTGTTTCTACACAATGACTAGGAAACAACAGTTAACAACCTTAATTCATGCTCTGATGCTTATTTGGGTGTCAGGTATTTGTCCCAGCAACAAGAGAAGAGTAACTGGGGCCAGGGAGATGGCTCAGTAGAAGAAGCACTTCCCTGCCAAGTGCAAGGGAATCCCCAGTTCCACCAATAAATAAATAAATAAATAGATAGATAAATAAATAAATTTTAAAAAATAAATAAATGAAAAGAGAAGAGTAACTGAGACGTAGGACATACGTCTTGGACTCGTGGACAGTTACTTAGAAATTTAACCAATAATTCATGAATAAATTAAACTGATGAGCACAGAAAAGAGAAACTCTGCCCAAACAAGCTCACCTAGCACATAGGAGCAGAGAGCACAACAGTCACTCTTGAGTTTTAGACGAAGGCAGGTCACAGGGCCATGGGGTCCGTGTCCCTTCAACCCTGATAGAGCTGTGGAGTATGGGATGAGCCCCGCTGCAGCTCATGGTCAGGTGAACAGTTCTTCTTTCTTTGTAAAAGAGTCGGCAAGGCAGGTGTGGGAGTTCTTAACCCAGCGTCTCAGAGGGTTGACCTTTCATACCTTGGTACATCGGAAGTGGCTCCAGCTGCACTATTTTCTGAAGCAAGGGCAGGTGCTCAGGCACTCAAGTATGGGAGACCTGGTTTCTATCACAGTGAGCTTCACAGCGAGTCTGAAGAGCCAGGCCCAGCCTTGGGAAGCTGAGTGCAGGTCCTGGGGGGTGGGGGCGCAGCCCCAAGGAACTTGACTCAACTAGGAGCCGAGCACCCAGGAGCCTGGCCTGCTCCTGAGAGCTACACTCTCCTCTTTCCTGACAGTGGAGGGAAACAGTGATGAGCTGGATGAGCCCATCAAAGCCATGTTCGCAGATGCAGCTTTTGTCCAGGAGCACAACCTGATGAGCCTGAATTCAATCAACTGGTCTCGGGTCCTTGTGCAAATGGCCCACCACTTCTTCGCCTACTTCCAGTGCTCGCCTTCCTTGGACACACACCCACTGTCTCCTGTGGAAGTGGTCGTGCCGTCGGGAGCTGGTGGCAACCTGGCAGGTAAGGGGACCCTGGATGTGCAGGGACTTTCTGGAAATCGACCCACAATCCCAATCTTTCCAGCTGCCCTTTGGCTGCAACTGGGAAGAGAAAGAAGGCTGAGTCCTACCTAGTTCTGAAGATAACAGGAAACTGCACAGAATAGCCTCCCTGGCTTCCTGGGGGCTGCCTTGGGCCCTTCCTGCTCAGCTCTGTGTGCTCCTTCTGCATGTGAGGACACGAGGTCAGGGGTCAGCCAGGGAGCCCAGCTGGCAGTACTGGACTTAAGTTCCACATGGCCAGCTGCCCAAGGCAGGGGCAGCATTGTGTTCCCTTCCGCGGGCACACTCCCCAGGTGGCATCCGAGGCATGGGGGGTCCTGGACTTAGGACTCTGGCCCCAGGTCTGCGCTTCCCTAGCTGATTTGCTGTGGGTTGGTTGCTTGGGCACTACTCGTCAGCTGTAGGAGGAGATGGTGGGTCATTTGTCATATTTCTGATGCCTGCTGCTGGGAGGGCAGTACAGTTCTCTTGCACATCCTACCTTGGTAAGGGTAAAGTGTGGCACGGCTACGTGGCGCTGGAATCATTTTCTCAGGACAGTTAACATTTGCAAGAATGTACTGGGCTTAAGTACTATGCTAGGTATCTTTGTGTATTAGCTTGTTTACTCCTCACATGGGCCTGAGAGAAGGACATTACACTTGTCCTACCGTATGCATGGGGGGGGCAGGGAAATAGCTCAGTGGAATAAGCACTTGCCTGGCAAGTGCAAGGACCTGAGTTCAATCCCCCCTCAAAAAAAAGACTTGTCCATGTACATGAGGGGTCGGTTCAAGGGCCCACATAGACTCCAAAGTCTACAGATACTTGAGTCCCTTATAGAAAATGACATAGGGCTGGCCAAATAGCTCAGCAAATTAAAGCACCTGCTTGGGCAGACGAAGGGGCTGGGGGTTCAGTCCCCTGGCCTGCCCTGCCAGTCCCACCCCCAGGGTACGCTGAGACAGCAATTGAGACTGGGCATGGTGCATGCACCTGTAATCCCAGCTCTGAACAGTAGGTTAGCGCAGACTGTGTAGGTGACAAAGGAACGCAGTGCAGGGCTGGTTCACCTCACCTGCTGGCGTCACACAGGCTGCAGAAGTGAAACCCGAATCACTGTGGGAGGAGCCAAAGGGTGGGACCCGACGACCCAGCTCTAGAGCACCTCTAATTCCTAACGCCATACTTGAATGCTATCTACATAGTTGCTACTCTGTACACTTTGGGAGTAATAGTAAGGGCAAAAGTCTGAACAGCTTCAGTACAATTGCACCATTGTCTTTCAGTCTCTGGTTGGTGGACTCTGTAGATGTGAAAGCTACAAATACAGAAGGCTGACTGCAATTTTATTTCCATTTTTATTTATCTATTTGCAGTGCTGGGTGTTGAACACAGGCAGGGTCTTCACGTAGAGCTACTTCCTCAACCCATTTTGTGTGTATTTGAAACAGAGGCTTACACCTTCAGTAAGTTGCCCCTGCTGAAGTTGAGCTAGAGATCCTCCTGCCTCAGGCTCCCAGGGTGCTGGAGTTACAGGTGTTATTTCCCTTTTATAATGAATTAGGGGCAAAGAGAGGCCAACTTGCACCTGGTTACGGTGGCTGGTCAGTAGCAGAGCCAGGGTCCTTGCCAGCTGTCACGGCTGGTGGTGCTGCTGCTTCTGGTCGGCTCCTCCTACTCTTGTGCTTCTGCGGCACTCTGGGGGTGGGGGCATTGTGATGGTCAGGTGGTGGAGAGCTTGCCTAGCATGCGTAAGGTGCTGGGTTCAATCCCAAGCACCACCAAGAAACAAATAAACCAAAACCTACAACCATGTACCCATTCACAGTCACTTTTTGTGTCCCCTGAACTTTTCTTCCCCCAAGCCCTCAGCATCACTGATCTGTTGTTATTGTTGTTTTTGTGGGTACTGGGACTCAACTTAGGATCTCACGCTTGTCAGGCATGCGCTGCACCGCTGAGCTGTAGCCCCAGCCCCTGACTATTTTGCCTCTGCAGACCTTTCCTATTCTAGCTATGGTGCCACGCACTGTATGGCCTTTTGTGTCTGGCTTCTTATGTGGGGCATATTGTTTTCAGCATTACCCAGGCGGTAACACCTGTCAGCATTGATTCTGTTGCATGGCTGCATTGCATTCAGTTAATTGGTGTATGTCAGTGGAATACATTTGGGCCTTTCCAAGCTTTTCCAGCCACTTTCAGTGATGCCATATGGACCCTCGGGTGTAAGTTTTTGTACAGCCCCGCATTCTCATTTGCTTTTGGCATATATCTAGAAGTGTCCTTGCTAGGTCCTATGATAACTGTGCTAAACATTCTGGGGAACCTTCCTGTTTTTCGGAGTACCTGCACTATTTTACATTCCTACCAGGGATGTGGAGACTTTTCAGTTTCTCCACACCCTCACCAGCACTTTGTATCATCTGCCTTTCTCAGTGTAGCAAATCTAGTGATTGTAAAGCTGCATCTCAGTGTGTTTAAGGGTTGTGTGTCCCTGACGACTAGTGATGCTGCATATCTGTCTCTGTGTTCATTGGTCACTTATGTGTCTTGTCATAGAAGTATATATTCAGACCTTTTGCCTATTTTTAAACTGAGTTATTGGTGTTTTTATTTTATTTTTGTGGTGTCAGGGATTGAACTTAAGACCTTGTGCTTGCCAGGCAAGTATTTATTCTACTGAGCTATCTCCCTGGCCCCAGTATTTTTATTGTTTAGTTGTAATAGTTCTTTATATATTGTGGATACAAGTTCCCAATTAGATATATGACTTGCAAATACTTTTTCCTATTCTATGAGTTATCTTTTTTTTTTATGGAATAGTCAGCCTCCATGGCTACAAATACCTGAGATTAATAATTTCCAGGAGGGGGCCTGCCCCTTAGCTAAGTTCTTTAAGTGACTGCTTCAACAAAGCAGTCAGACTCAGGTTGCTGTGGTTTGATCCCCACAACTCAAGCCAGCCAAACCTGCCCTGAAGGCATTTGGAGCAAAAAATAATAATAATAATTTCCAGGAGGGAAGGTTTATTTTGTGTCTGGGTGTGGTTTTCTTTGGATTGATACTATTTGGAATTCTATATGCTTCGATTACAGGAATGTCAGATTGTTGCCCC